ATTCTGTTTAACCGCTACGAGGATTATACGAACCGATTTTATTATTTTTACTTAAAGTTACAATAATAACCCATGTAAACTAAGATCAACTGCGATCTGCTGTGAAAATTATCTGCTGAAAGTAAACTTGTAATTTTGTTTGTCCGAATTTCGCCTTTGTCTTCGTTTTTATGACGTCACAGTTGCGCTGCGCTATTCAAGATACGAAGCATTTTAAAGTTTGTACATGTACCATCCAGCAAAGCCTTCCCCAAGGGACCTTWGGCTGAAYTGATTCGTTATCAAAGTAATATATCAGCACGTGACTGTTTGTTGCAAAAGACCTATTCTCCGGGTTAAGTCCAAATTCGAATTAAATTTTTAATAATCTCATTGCAAGGTGTTATGAAACTGTTTTTTTACGCGCCTTTTTACGGGCCTATGATACCTCTTGCATGTGACTCAAAGCGCGCAGCTTAATTTGGAGGACAAAACATAAGAATTTCCTGAAAATCTCCTGAGAATTGGAAACCTATCGTTATGTCATCCGAATTGAGCTGCATTCCGACGTGCTGTAAGGGATCTTTGAACTTCTTTACCTTGGGTGTAATGTTTTACCATTTCAGACCACGGTCATTCTCTTGGAAATAAGACTTTTCGTTTGAATTTGATCCATATTCATGGATCTTCTCGTGCAAAACCATTAAACAAAGAAATGATACTCTAGGGAATGACGYGTGGCCTGAAACGKGGAAATGTTAGGTAAAKAATCCTATAGACTATCGTTAATCGAGGAAATCGAAGTGTGAAAAGGGAAATGAGTACCTACATCTAATGATTGATACGGTAGTCTACTGTAGAGTCAACTGCAGCGACTCGATCAGCACATAGGCAATTCACCACTTTCCATACATTGGTTCGCTGATCAAACACAAAGCGCTCAAGCGAGGCGCCAAGGTACTTTCAAACGATTCAAATTTGAACCTTGCAACCTCGACTGAATGCTTTGTGTTTGACCAGTGAACCGATGTATGGAAAATGGTGAAAACAGTGTGGTTCTTGGTTCATTTTCGGCTCAAATTATTGAAAATTGACCTTGTCTAATTTAGTAAACCTTTTTAAAACTGATCAGTTTAATATTCGTAATCGTACCCTTTTTCAGCCCAAACCGAGGATATGTCTTGTAATAAGAACCAAGGTATGTATATTTAGTTTACTATATCATGTTATATGAAGTGCACTATAGAACCCTGAAATTGTAAGTTATTTACTGTGGTCAGATCGTTGATAATAAATAAATTACTATAGCTGAAATGCCGCATTGATAGTTGATGTATATTCGGTTGCTTTTATGATCGTAAGTTGGTTCCCTTATGTATTACCACGGTCTTTCTGTTCGATCGAGTGAACGCTASAAGTGTTTACCACTGTAACGTACTTGCCAAACCAGTCAACGCCGTCGCGACAGTTGTTCATTAGTTAATAAGTGTGCTTATATTCAGTAATATACATTATATTGAGAAATTGTGTTAAGAAATTACTAGAGACTGATGAGTTGTTTGAATACTCTAGATGTTTGTCCAACAAGCTGCCAATGTTTTCAGTCATCGGGAAATACCAAGCGTCTAGTGGTTCAAGGTGACTCACTCTTGACTGTACCAAGAAATATACCGAAACAAAGCGCCGTAATGTGAGCATCTCTCTTATACAAGCCAGAGTCCTACTATATTAAATGGCATATTTTATTCAACAATTATTCGYCGAAGGCGAAGTGAATATCGGGAAATAATAATAATAATAACGTAACAAAGTTGAGGTTATTATTCCCGATATTCACTGAGCCTGAGGTGAATAATTGTTTTAGTACAAATTCAGAGGTGATTCTGTCAAAAAAGAGAGAAAAAGAAGTTAAAAGACATTTTTYTCSGGTAACAGCAACAAAGCGGCTGGCCGCCATTTTGGATTATCGCGGGAGGTGATTATCGTGTGATAGTGGGAGTTCTTCGACCAATCAGCGCGCGAGATTTTCAATAATCACCTGTGTATTTATACTAAACTCTATTGCCTTCGAACAAGTGTTTGAAGTCGAGGCATTTAGGTTAAGACAATGAAATGTATAGAAACTGACATAAATACAACAATTGTTTGTAACTCGGATATATGCTATTGTATCCAACACCATTAGAAATACAGCCAATCAGAATTCGGTTACAGACATTGGGCGCTATTCCACCATTTCTTCCCATCAGGCATGTAGTGTTTTGGATTCCTTGAGTAACTGCTTAGTTTATTTCAGTGATGTGTGATATAATAGCTATACCGCAATACCCTAACGTGCCACGTTATGGGGTATCCCACTTGTTACTTGTATTTCCTCAATTAAAACTCGCCTTAAAGCTCGTGTTCATACTAAAAAATACAGAGTTCTTGGTATGTAACTCAACATTGTAACATTGCAACATTGTAACACTCAAACCGATTTTCAATCTAGTTTAATATTAAAGTATTCATTGAGCTATATRACTTCTAATTTGTCCCAAATAATTCAAAAATACTACAGAGTTTCGCAAAGCTCTATTTTAACTGGAGCTGTCTTGGCTTTTCTTGAATTCAACAGATTTTTTCAACAAAACAAAATTTATCAACTGAAAAAAGATGACTTCAGCTCATTTCCATCTCTGGAATATGTGTAAGTTAATATCATATTATATTCATTTTAGCAATTCCAACACTCACATGGCCACTAGTAGCCTCAACCAACTTGTCTCATATAAGTYCATCTCATGTAAGTAACACTCACTTGGGAATTAGTAACCTCAGCACCAGCAGAAATTCTAACTTGTCTCATGTAAGATCATCTTGCCTGGACATATTTTGCTTAATCTCTCACGAGGGCTTTGATTTCAAGGTTGACTTAGCCTCTTGGTTTCTGGAGCCTCGTTTTTTATCTTTAAATTTGAGAAGAAGCCTGCGTGCAGGATATGGTCCACTGAATTAAAGTATATACGGTTTAGATAGTTGAATTACAATTATGTTTTTTATAGGTTTTTAATCAATATTTATTGATCATCACAATTACTTTTTTCCACAGTGATATCAGTAACAACGTATTACTTCGTGTGGAGGATAAAACCTTCAATAATTTACCAAAGATTCAAGACATGTAAGTATATGAAAGACTCCCAGAGTAACCACTTGACAAATTACTCCTTGGTTCTTTTTAAAGCTAGACGACGGTTCTTAAACCCATGTTAATTGGGAGCTAGTTCGCTTTCAGAAAGAGAGAAAACTAACTGGTTCGCGTTTAAAGTAGATGTGTTTGTGACCTCCATTTCTCATGAATTTACTTACATTTCACCCTTTCTTTCTTGCTTTCTTAATAGACTTGCTTTCTAGCTTCCTTGCTTCCTTGCTTCCTTGCTTCCTTGCTTCCTTGCTTCCTTCCTTCCTTCCTTCCTTCCAGTCCCAGTCCTTTCCTT